CAGAATCACTCATTTCTAATTAAACTGGATGTAATGAAATATGTGAAGATTGATATGTATTACGTCTATAAAACACATTTCACCAGAATTTGCAGCGAATGCGATTCGGACCTGGTTATTTTAGACTTGGTATATTGCTAGAAATTATTAATTGTATTTTGTCTATGTTTTCTAATTTTCAAATTATTATTTATATAACAGTTGACGGCTATCGTACTGTTTAACCCGAATCGACCGAATCTTATTCATAGAAATGTGATCAAGTAAATTGTTCATTAGGTTTATATGTGAAACTTGATTAACATCTAATTAATCCATAGACTCGAGCAAAACATTTACATATATTTGTTGCAACGATATCTTCACTACAAATACGATACAGAATATGAGGCTAAATGCAAATGTGAGCGCCTTTTGGATACATTGCAAGACATCACGATTTTAGGTGATATGCAAATGAAAGACACTTCACAGGAAAATGCCGACGATTTTGGACCACTTAGTCGTGAGGTTTTCAATATGAAGTCACATAAGCTGCGAGAAACTCAAAATTCAATTGAATACTATTTTTAGTAGTACGCTACATATAGAAAAATGTATGTATTTCAATAAAATTAGCGATAAAAACAACATATTTGTTATCATTTATGACAATTTTAAACACTTTCATTGATGAGTGCATTTTACATCTTTTGAACATAAAATATTTATTTTATATTTAATTTTATGTTAATATTTGTGCAAATCAAGAAACATTCAAATCAAATAATATCCTAATAAACCAGAAATGGATAGTGTTTAATGTTTTGAAGTTTAATTGATATTGATTTCAATTTAACTTATTTCGATATTTACGTCAATTTATTAGTCGTATATTTTTATTAAATATATAAATATATATTATAATTTATAATAAAAATCTTAAAATTAACAAATATTATATCTATATATCTAACTGTTATATAATCTAAACAGTGAATAATAATTAGTTTCTTATAGAGTACATTTTAAGTGCTAAGAGTATAACCCAATGTCAAGTCTATGATGTAATTTATTATTGTACATTTGATTCATACAGGCTAAAATTAGAATTTTATTAGCTTATACAATATTTAACTAAACGACATGCTAATACTTGACAATATAATCATACAAATAATTGTTTTTTTAAGAATTTTCTCAAGGTTTGTAAAAGTAACCAATTTTAAGTTTGTGTACAATTTCAAACGTTTTGAACACGGGTTTAGCAATTTATATATCGGTACAAAATATCTCTAGAATCAATTAATTAGTTATAATAGAGTGTGACTTGTTATTATGAGTGTGACTTATAAGTACTTGTTATTTAAAAAATTAATTATATTTGAGATAACCATAAGTATTTTGTGACAATTTATTAGAAAGTATTTATAAATTTAATTTTAAAAGAATACAAAATCTCAGAATTTCAACACTTTTGTACTATTATTATATAAAATGTTTGATTTGTTTACCAATTATTTAAATGCGAAGTTTGCCAAAACAGAAATATAAATAATTTAAGTAGATAATACAAATATTTCATTAATATTATTAAGTTTAGTCATAGATTTAAATAGCATTTCACAAATATTTCTAATATTCGCGATTTGTATAAAGTATTTATTTAATTATTTATTTATTGAGATATAAAAAATTAACCAATTAACATTATTTTTAAATACTAAATTAAAACTAATAATTATTAGAAAAATTACTGAACCACTGAAAAAAGTTTGAATTTAATAATATAACCAAATA